TTTTATGCGACAATTTGTTGCGATGAACCACAAAAAATTTTATGGCTTTAAATTGCTTTTATTTTCTTACAGAATAAAAAACTTCAATACAATAGAGTAAAAAACTTTTAGAGCGCAAAGTGAATGAAGAGAGAGAGAGAGAGAGAGACTGTCTAAAGACTTAGGCTAAACTGCTTTTTGTGTTGGCGTCCCTCCCAGACACGTATCACTACTGTCCACACGCTTTGCTTTGCATGACTTTGATTTGAAAAGAAGCCTAAGAAAACTTTGAGGACATGTATTGCACTTCTCTGCACATTATCGGTGTTTCCCATGGAGTGCACCGTTTATGCCGTTCTTTGCTGTCATCATAGACTCAATACGTGCTATATATGGTGTATAACTTATAGATATATATCAGAGATGTATATAGAAAAGCATGAAAAAACTCCGGATATTGAAAAAAGCTTTCTCCCTATGAAAAGATGGTACACCTCGTAGTGAACAGTACAGCCACTACTGGAGTGCCAGTGCTTTCTCAATACGAATGCCGTTCATTGGCAACACTCAGACTCAGACCTACATATTCTCGGCTCACAATATCACACAAAATAGTGCAACAGTTTGACAATAAAGTAACTCTACATAAAATACTGTTGCTTTTGGCTCTACACGTGTGCTATACTACCAGTTTCTTCTCACTTGTAGGGAATACAAGTGATGTCAACCCCTATTCCCTTATCCTTCTCTCTCTCTCTCTCTCTCTCTCTCTCTGAGTCTCTCTGAATCAGTGGTGTATTAAGTCCTGCTATGGTTTGAATGGTAGTGTAGAGTCGTGTCCACAGATCCAGATCCAGTTAGTGTCGCACAATAGGCTCTCCGCTGGGCTGTAGTCCTCTCCAGTGCTGAAGCGCTCTATTCTTTCAAATATATGTAACCATCAGAACAAGAGTACACTATTTTGAATCGACTCTTTGATTATGAATCAACTCTCTCTGAAAGCACCTGGCATTCAGTCCATACACAACCCCATACAACACTCACCAAATAGTCGACTACACAAAAACCGCATACAAATGTTGGACGAGTTTTTGCAATTAAGTTAAACTTTTAGACCATTATTTCACGAATCAAAGACAACTCTTTTCAATTGAATAATACATTCAAATATTGAATTAGTTTTATTGAATTTTGTTATTTTATTGCATTTTCAGTAACAATTTGTATAAAAATATATATACATTCAAAATCTGTTTTCTATATAATATAATAAATTAAAAAGATTTTTATATATGAATATTATTATAGTTGATGTAAGAAATAAAATACAAAAATATTTTATGTATTAAAGGCACATAACATAACTCCCATATATACAGTGATATACAAAAGACAAAAATGAGAATTTATATAAAAATATTGTTAATATTCTGTAATTCTTGTCAAAGTAGTCAAAAAGTAGGAATGTTTTTGAAGTTTAGAGTTTCAAAATTTCACACACATTAGATATTAATTAATATTAAATATTAATATAGATATAAAATAAAGTTAATATCCGACGAAAATATTTATATTATTTTAAATATTTTATATATACATATAAATTAAGTCTAAATTATCATTATTTAATAATCAAATTAATATGTTGGACGTGTTTCGACATATTCTCACGGTTTTTAATAGTCTCCTTCTTTTCTCGTATATTTATATATAATTTATGATAGAATTTAGAATATAAACGAAATAAATATATAAAACATTTTATATTTTTTTGCATTCCTTCATAAAAGAGAGGTTTGAAGAGAGAATTTGAATAACATTTCCGTTCACTTGTGTTCTCTATTCTCTACTCTTATGGCACTGTTTGGCACTCTCTCTATACATTACATACTCTATGCAACAGTAATGGCTCTCCCATTATATAACATAACATTTAATGTTTAAGTAACGGTTGATTTCTAAGAATTATTTTATTCGACCCCTACTTTTAATGCGGCAAAAATATTTCCCCCCATTTGAAGGGTTAGATGGGGTTTGGGTTTTATAGAGAGAGTGTTGGGAACAGAATAGAGAATATTATTATAATATATATGAATGAAAGAATGAATGACTGGTCGGTCGCACAGGTAGTGAATAGTTATACTTGGGATTAATTCGGCGGCGTATCGCACATCGCAAACCATCACAACCTGCCTCTGCCTCTACCTCTCAGTCCTCTTCTCTTTCCATTCAATTGTTATCTAATTCTTTACATTAAACGCATAAAAGAGTGCAAATATTCTGCGCCTTTGCTCTGATCTGAAGGTATTTCAAGGTTTACAATATTTAGTTCACAATATAATTCAGTATTAAAAGTGTATTTCTATAGACAAAGTTCTTTGTGTTCAAATGGTATTAATGGATCATAACATTAAGAAACTACTTTCAGAGCCCGATCTCGAGGTCGTATCCGAGGAATCGGTTCCATTGCAAGTGATATCTAATTTTGGTTTCGTCTCTGAGTCCCAATTAGGCGGCGATGCGGACGACGATATAGTACTGCTATAAGGAGTGGGAGGTTTGTATGTCTCGACACTTGCGGGTGAATTCAGTGGCAAAAAGTCTGAGGGCTTCAGCGACGACAGCGATATGGCATCGGATACTGTGGCGGACGAACCGGTGATGAGAGACGAGACGTTGTTAGTGTCAAACATTTTGACGGTTTCGCTTAAGGCCCAAATGTAATTGTGTGCGAATCTCAAAGTCTCGATTTTGGTCAGTTTGGTGTCGTCGGGAAACGCGGGCAACACTTTACGCAACTTTTCCAACGCCTTGTTAAGCATATGCATCCGATTTCTCTCCCTATCGTTGGCTTTCAGGCGGCGATTCTTTCTGATCCGAACGACAACTGTTGGACTCCGCGCTCGGGTTCGCGATTTCGTGAACCGTTTCTTCTTTGACTTGGAGTCCATCTCCGCCTCCGATAGAGTCGGCGATGAAATGTCGTTCTCTTTGGTCGACGATTTGTCTTTACTTTCCTTCATGTTTGACATGTTTGACGTAATGCTTCTGCAATCGTCGTCTTCGTGATCGCCATCAGAGCCGCCGACAAACATGGAATCGCTGGACCTGTCGTAAGATCTCTCCTCATCGTCGAAGTCCTCCTCCATATCAGAGTCGGTAATGTTGGAGATGGGAGTCATAGCGAAGTGATGGACGTTCTGATAGGCTTTTGTTACGCAACGAAACGACTCGGTTGTCATCTCTCCGAAAGTTATGGCAATTTCTAGAAAAGTGATAATAAAAGCGAACAATAAGATAAAACTGTGAAATACTGGACATTTTATGCGACAATTTGTTGCGATGAACCACAAAAAATTTTATGGCTTTAAATTGCTTTTATTTTCTTACAGAATAAAAAACTTCAATACAATAGAGTAAAAAACTTTTAGAGCGCAAAGTGAATGA